ACACACACACCAACGTGTTGCTACATGCCTAATGGACACCTGTTGACACTGTGGATGGAAACACGATCAAGAGATAATAAGAGCAGGTTCACATGAGAACAACCCAGGTGTGTGTGTGTTTTTTTTTGTGCAGTGGTGGAAGAAGTATTCAGATCCTTAACTTGATAAAAAGTACCAAAACATTATTGCTAATACATTTAAAATCTGTATGAGGAAAAGGTACAAAAGTATTGTGGGCAAAATCTACTTGGAGTATCAAAAGTACTCATTCTGCAGAAAATGGCCTCCATATTATGGTAACACTTTATATTAAAAGGTACACAAATTCACTGTCAACTAGTTGTTAATTAACATGCATAGCAGTATATTGGCCCTTTATTAGTCATTATAAAACACTTATTAATGCCTTATTCTACATGACCGTATTCTACAAGTAATAGTAAGTAATAATAGGTAATAGTTGAGAGTTTTTCCTTAATAACCCTCTAATAACATGAGTTTTGGTCTTTATGCTCTGCTCAATATGGACCTAATAAGGCAGTAGTACCACAAGAATAGTAATTCTCCCATAATAACACTGTCCCAATTTTTTTTTAAAAGACGAGACTCCTCCGAATGCGGCCCACGAATGCAGCCTTCTTTTCCCGGATTCGGAGGAGGAGCAGCCTTTTGCTTGATGTTGGTTTGTGCCGTGCTGTCAAAGGGATGCACGTGTGACTGTCATTTCATCTCTTTAGTTTAAAAAACAAACAAAACAGTACATCATTTGAAATGATCCCTTAAGGATTGTTTTTCTGAAATGCTTAGAGTTACATTTTGCAATAATACTTTTGCAACCCTGTGTTTAATGATTAATTCACTTTTTTCTTTTTCTCTTGTTTTTCTCTGTAATTAGGATAATTCTGGATAAATGGATCTGCTGGAGAAGGACCCCTAATCTGAAAAGTGCACAGCGGATCATCAGGACAGAGCTGCCATCCCCCTGGGCACCCCGAGGTGCTGGAGAAAGCAAAATGGCGATCAGGAACATCCTCCACCCAGACCTCTGCTTACTGCCGTCCTACAGACTTGTGTCTCTGATTTTGGATATGTCCTTTCATTTAATAGATATTTAACGATTATAGCTTGAGTCTGTCTGATTCCCCAAACAGCTGCTTCTATATACGTGCTGCACATATAATACAAATAAACAACTCCATAAACACACTTTTGCTGATATTTGTGTTACTGCTGGTGATGTTAAATAACATGATTGATTTCCTCTGTCTCAATGATGAAAGTTATAATAATATAAGACATGAAGCTGCAGAGAGAGGATGGATATATTCTTACCTCTACTTTGTGATAAAATGAAAATACAAAATGAAATTAAAATAGTAATTGTTAAACACATTGTTTATTTCATTTACTGAGATTATTTACAACATGTGTACATAAGCAGTGGAATAATAGAATATCTCTAGGTCATTAAACTGTATTCAATTCTGTTTAATTATATTAATATAAAAAATAGGTCATAGATATTTTTTAATTATTAGTATTTCAGCAGAGCAGGGGGTCACGGTGGTGCTGGACCTGGAGGTGCTGACCTGGTGTCAGTAGGACATTATCTGGGCTGGTTTAGGGGAAGAAGGAGAATATAAACTGTTATAATCACAGCTATTAAGATTAGAACACTAATATCGTTAAGAATCAATCTATACAACATGCTTTTATTCATTTAAAAAAAACATATTGTTTTATTAGTTAAGACTTATTTTAAATATGAAATAATATCGTCACTGCCGGTCAGGGACGTGCACAGGTAAGGGCTAATGTTGCCCGGGCAACGGCCCGTTTCGCCTTTTTGGCTGACCTGCCCCTCTGGAGAGAGCGAGAGTTTGTTTTTCTTTTTTCTGTTGTGGCCGAATCAACATGATAAGCCCACAATTAGTATCGTAGCGTCTCGCTGCGGGAAACACACTTTGTCAGCGCTGTCATCTGCCAGTGCGTTAAGACCACCTCTAGTGTCGGTTTTTGGAAACTTGATTTTGAGTTGTCTCGTGGCAGTTAGGGTATAAGGGACAACCCTGGGGACTTAACTTCCTCTTGATACTGTCGGTTATTTACAAAAAAACACCTAAATATAGCCTACTTGTTGTTATTGTGCTTCTGTCTTTTTCATCTGTAAACTCCCTCAACGCACCGCTTGCTCTCTTTTTTTGATCGCCCTCTCACGGGTGAACAGTTCACTGTCCCGCTTCATTGTAGGATTTCTGCCATGTCTCTACTTTAGTTTGACCATCTCTGTTATGAAGTTATGAAATACTAAATAAATAAGTAATTAGATACCTTACCGTTACTACGCTCATAAAGAATGATAAGAATAAGTATAATGCGTATTGAACTGGTTTCATTAATTAGTGAGTTTATTTAAGGTAATTAGTTAGAGGCCCTATTTTATCAGTATGTCTGCACAGCAATGGGTCAAACTACATTAGAACAGAATTGTCCCCATTTATCTTTAATAGTTACTAACATTTGATATTTTAATGAGATATGGACCGCAAAACATTTTTAAAATCAAGTCACCGAATGCAAGTACTCGCCTTAGCTTATTTTGTTAAGAATATATGAATCAGTGTTCAATTTAGTTGATGTAATAATCGTTTGGTTTCTTTTACATTAAAAACAAGTTACAATTTCAAAAGGTCTTTTTTCGGGGGGGAGGCCCTTTTTCCAGTTTAGAGCAATAGCCCCTCCAAATGTCTGTGGCACGTCCCTGCTGCCGGTTACCGACCGGCCCACTTCAGTACCGGCCCATCGGGATTCGTCCCGATGGCCAGTCCGCCCCTGCCTTGGCCGTTTCTCAATGTCGAGTATACCTGCTGCAGAGCCACTATTTCAAGTATACTACGTCATCGAGTGGCGCCGAAGGACTGTTTAAATGCATGTTAAATGCCCAGCATTCGGCGCCACTCGATGACCTAGTATACTTGAAATAGTGGCTCTGCAGCAGGTATACTCGGCATTGAGAAACGGCCAGTCTCATTTCGTAGGCCGCTCGGTCCAGCCTACCCGGTCTACGTGGGCTGAGTCCTCCGTGGACCGCGTAGGCTGCGTACTCCGAAGGGTGCAGCTCATGGATGTATAATAAGAACTGGATACAGCGTGGGAGGCGGGGCCTCGTTCATTCCTACGAGAGTTGCTCATTGGCGCATGAAGACAAAATGGCCCGACTTTTGAGAGCTATCTCGTGCGAACGAGAAAGTATATCATGCGCACAAATTAATAAAGCGTGGCCTCGTTTTATTTAAATTGAGGCCACGAGAGAGAGAGAGAGAGAGAGAGAGAGAGAGAGAGAGAGAGAGAGAGAGAGAGAGAGAGAGAGAGAGGAGAGAGAGAGAGAGGGAGAGGACAGATGAGAGAGAGACACCACACACACACACACACACACACACACACCACACCCACACACACAGACAGACAGACAGACATATAGCGACACGAGACAGACTTAGCCTAGTTGAAACAAAGCGGTATAAACATGGTTTTTGACTGGAGCGAACTCGGAGTGAAGATCAGTTGAGCGTTTCTTTGACCCCGCCCAGCAGCTGCTCTTCTGAGAGGAACCGCTCTGACAGCTCTGTCTACTGGGAAACACGCTGAAAGTCTTTCTGGAGGTAAGCAACGCATTTCACCCAGTCTGAGAGTAAAAGCTTTCTCGAAGGTTTGTTTTGCTTTCTTTTTTTTGTTAACTTAACCTTAAGTTTGCTAGGAGGCTATTGTTACTTCCAGTGTTCGAATTACCCATTTGCTTTCGGGGAACCCTATTTTTCAAATCGTGCTTCAACATTCAAATAGTGCTTCAGGCTCCACATCGGCAGGCCTCTCCTTCGGTGTGGAGCTGTTAAACTCGACCCTAACGCCGCTTACAGCCGGCCAACTAAAAGTTGTTCCGTTCACGTTGTCATTTTTAGACTGCTTCGCTTCTTTTCTTGTGAATCCAAAAGCTGCGAGGCTTGGCTGTTTTTGTTTCGTCATATTTTTTATTACAAAGTCAGAGTTAAAAAAATATCAATATGAACATTTCAAATGTCGCGCCGGCATCGCCACCATAACCATAGCAACGCAAGTAGCGTAAAGAATGCAGCCCCGCCACGTACAGATGGCAACACCCAGAAATATTCACAAATATAAAACAAATATTCAGAAACTGTAATGAACAATGACTATTATTTATTTCAAGAACTTTTATTTACAGAGACTCAACATTTCTAATCTGTGTGATACAAATATGCACGATTTTTTTGGGCTCCCCCTATTTATCTCAAAGTCGGCCTTCAGGGGAGCTCCCCCCCTCTTTAGGGGAGCCAAGCTCCCCCTGGCTCCCCCCCATTTCGAACACTGGTTACTTCCCTTAACAAGAGCTAGCTGTCTTAGCTAAGAACAGTTAGCAGCTAACGTTTTCTGCAGTTTGTGTTGACACTGAAAAACGTGATCTAGTTATTTAAGGGTAAGTTAACTTAACGTTATCGTACAAGTTGAGAGAGTTAAGTTTTGTTTAAAATCGTCAATGTAATGCACATTATAAGTTTTGTGTTGAACATGACGTTAGCTAACGTTAGCTAACTCTACCACGTTTTTTGCCATTGTTACTTACCATAAGCAATTGTTGACTGTAACGTCTGTGCCAACAAACTAGTTCTGGCAACCACAGCTGCCCGAATGTTAACGTGTATTTAAAGTTTTTTTTTTTTTACAGTGTACTTATATCTGTACATTTATTTTCAGTTTGCTTCAAGAAGTGGCTTCAACAGACAGAAATAAAGGCCAGATTGGGAAAGGCTGGACGCTACACAACAGGAAACATTATGGACATAAACAAGAAAAGAAAAAAAACGCTTAAGAAAAATGTTGTAATTTCTTTGTTGTATTTCTTATCATACATATTGTTACTGTTTTTGTTCCCATTTAAGTATTTAATACTATTTATTCTATTTATTTTAAATCAAATGCACCTGTTTTAGATAATATATTTATTTTTTGATGTAGGTTCATTTGTAGGTTGGTTGTATAATTAGGGCCTGAGCACGAAGTGTGCGAAGACCTATTGTTCTTTATAGTTGTTGTATTGTTACTGTGTATTTTATTATATTAACTAGCTATTTATTACCAGAGAGACAGAGAAAGAGAGAGACAGAGAGTCAGACGGAGAGGCAGAGAGACAGAGAGTCAGACGGAGAGGCAGAGAGACATTATGAGCAGAGCATAATAGACCAAAACTCATGTACAATAACTTCCTTACTTGCAATAAATAAGCACTAATTAGAGGGTTATTGAGGAAAAACTCTCAACTAATGGCTTATTACTTGTAGAATATGGTCATTTAGAATAAGGCATTAATAAGTGTTTTATAATGACTAATAAAGAGCCAATATACTGATAATATGCATGTTAATTAAGAACTAGTTGATGGTGAATTTGTGTACCTTAATAAAGCGTTACTGTGTATATTGCTATATCAGTGTAAAGTACCATGTAACTGTTAATATATGTACATATACATACATATATAATAGATGCATATGAATGTCTAGGACATTCTTTCCTCTGTTATATTAGTGTGTTATATAGTTTTTTGTGCATGTAAATGGTCTACAAAGGCTATAATCCCAAAGTTCCAGGAGTTTCTCTCCCATACACTCACCCACCTGAAACACCGCCATTGGACTCCTTTGTTCACTTTGAATACATGATGACATCACTATGTAACACTGTGCTTCTATTGGCTACCACTCCAACAAATTGTACGTGATAGGCTAAGTGTGGGACATCACTAAGCGGTTGACTAATCACAACATATCCGGCCAGCTAACCAATCAGAGCAGACTGGGCTCTGGTTTCAGACAGAGGGTGAAAAGAGGTGCTGCAGCGCAGGCAGTATGAGGACAATAAAGAGCTTTTTGAACATTAAAGCATGGAGACATGTCACAGGAGAGGCATAACATATTAATATGAACCTGGAAATGAGCCTCTTTAACTGAGGTTCATGTCATGTCGTCTGATCTGAAAAGTAACTAAAGCTGCTAGATAAATATTGTTTCCCCTTCTAGTGGAGTAGAAGTATAAAGTAGCATTAAATGGAAATACTCAAGTAAACAATGCAAGTAGTAACTTTCTAGAACTGGTTGTGTGTGTGTGTGTGTGTGTGTGTGTGTGTGTGTGTGTGTGAGTGTGTGTGTGTGTGTGTGTGTGTGTGTGTGTGTGTGTGTGTGTGTGGTGTGTGTGTGTGTGTGTGTGTGTGTGTGTGTGTGTGTGTGTGGTGTGTGTGTGTGTGTGTGTGTGTGTGTGTGTGTGTGTGTGGATAGATGTTTGTTTAAGCAATGTATTCAGAGCATGTGGACGCATGTGCTTGAGAGTACATGCATTCGTGTTTTCTGATGTGTTTCTATTGGTTATCTGCTGCTGGGTATATCTATTCTTACAGCTGGTTAACCATTGACGCTGTCTGGAGCGTTACTGCTGCTATTTACTGTCCAGATCAGGAGCTGATCGCTCGGTCTGTTAATCATTTAAAGGACAACCATCTGCTTACTTCACCACAGATCTGTGCAGTAAAGGGGCAAGTCTGAGGACAGCAGCAGCATCACTTCCAGTAAATCAGCTTTGCATACACACCGAATGGAGCAACTCCACCTTATGGGAATGTTTTATTAACTGAACTTTAATACGACAAACAAATTCAACTGGTAGCTGATATGCTAGGCAAAATAACAATTGTCATATGCTAGACAAAAATTATTTGTGATGTTTTTATGCCCTCAGTTTAAAATCTGCTCTTGAGAGTTTATCCAGATGCTTGGCAGATGATTCAGAGCATGTGAGTGTGACAGAATGCATGCTAAGCAGTGTCTAAGAGAGTGACACTTCACTCCCATGGAGCTTACATACAAGTCATACAAACTGTCAAAATTCAGTGTGCAAGTTTAAACAGTGAGCAAAGGTAAACTAGTACTATGCTTATGAATCTGTCCTTGCCTCTAAGATATTTACTGATATTTCACTGTAGTTACATTTCTTTGGTTGTTAGAATTCCATAAAAACAAGGGTCATCAAGAGTCAACAGTGAAACCTGTCTCCTTTATACAGAGGTGTATGTAGCATTCTGTTTCGCTGTTCATTTTAGAATGATTGTATTAATCCATTATCGGTTGGGAGTGCTGTATTCAGATTAGCTAGAGGCGTGTCTTATTTTCAAAGCTAAGCCTCTCCTGATATAAACCTCATACAAAGCGCTCATACGTGAGAGTATCATTGTTCTCTACCTCGCAGCAAGAAATGAATTATTTCTCACATTGGCCATGTATGCCTTTAAGTAGGTTATGTTGTTTGTTAGACATTTGCATTTGTGAAAAATGATTATGTTATTAGCTTCTATTACTTTTTTAAACTACTCATTGTGGATTATTCCTTTTTAAATGCCCCTTTATTAGCAGATCACAACCAACTGATTAGTGATATCTGCAGTTTCTCAATTGACTTTAAGATCTTTAGTTGAGTCTTTTGTAGCTCTGGTTGATCTGTATTTGATGGGTTGCCACTTGTTTTAATTAAATCTTACCATAACCAAATAGAATACTGTATCCTGATCAACTTTCGGCAAAAACGTTATACTTCAGACAAGAATGTTACCATCTCAACTTTTTTTTTAAAGCAACTATTTACCATAATGTCTACATATTCCTTTAGGTAAGCTATGTTGTTTCTAAGTTTGACATTGGAGTCATGAACCTTTTTTGTTACTATTTTATTAATAGTCGATTATTCCTTATTAAATTACCAAATCATAACTGAAAAGAAGTTGTGATTTGATATACCGATATAATTCGTGATAAATGATATCTGCAGCTTAATCTACTAACTTTTGTATCTCCAGTTGAGTCTTTTGTAGCTCCAGTTGGGTCTTGAGTTTTTTCTTCGCTCCTTGGGTGAGGTCGTACATGTTCAGGTCGTTCTCCGTCAGTGCTAAAAACTGTAGGAAACACAGGAAGAATTTAGAAACCTCAAACATACTGGCCTATTGAGAATAAAAAGCTCCAGTTTTAAATACTGACTGTATTGTTTCCAGTAAGATATCTCTTAATAAAACAAATGATGGAAAAGCATCTAAAGCTAACCCACCTTCTCCATGGTGAGCTGTTTGAACACAGGGTAATATTTATGGAGCCGGAGCCTGCGGAGCCAGTCCAGGATGCTGTTCTGCTCTGCGGTGCTGGGCAGGGACAGGGATTGGGGCAGTGGGTGGGACAGGGAGCGAGACAGGGAGTGGGACTGGGGGTACGGGAGGGAATGTGAGTGGGACGCTGGCAGGGAATGGGACGGCTGATGGGACTGAGCGCTGGACTGACTGCTGCTCTGTGGGTGGAGGTGGTGAGGAGAGAACAGGTGTGACAGACTGTGCTGGGGATGTGGGGGTGAGGAGGGATCGCCTACACCGGTCATGGAGCACTGGGAGGGAAGGGCTGGCACAGGGGGATGGAGGGAGGACAGCTGAGGGGGTGGAATGGGGCGGGAGGAAGGGGAGGAGGGAGGGAGGAGAGGTGAGGAGAGGGGCGAGTCAACACAGAGCTGTGGGTGCTGACGACGGGCTGGACGCTGGCCACTCTGTACACCGCCCTGAGAAAGGATATACAGTCAGAGGGGGGGGGGCACACATGATGAACTATAGAAAGATAAAGATATAAATAATCTTACCTGTTGGCTCCTCTGTACTGAACCATACAGTCGAGATCTGGGAACAGAGTGGAAACCAACATTCCTTTATAATCTTCACTATCATTACAAGTAAAGTGTTTCAGGCTGCCGTCACATGACAAGCTGTAAAATGGCTCTGTGCTGACGTTGCCGTTGTGCTCCTATCCTCGGCCCGCGCACCGCTCGAAATATCGACAAACGCTGCTCTCAAAGTTCAAATAATTTCAACTTTGAAGTTGATTGCTAAAAGACTTGCTGTGTTCAACTCAAGGCTCTGTAAGTAAAGCTGAATTGACCTGATTCTATTGTTATGTCCCCTGCTAGCTTGTCAGCGTTAAACAAGGAAAAAGTTAATACAATTTGAATTTGCAGCGCCCGGCGAAATTTTTTTCAAGTGTGTGCGAGCGACGCTGAAGGCAGCACTTCTGTCTAGTCGGGCAGCACCGATTTCAGAAACATGACGGCAACACCAGCGCAGAGCTGTTTCAGTGAGTATAACTTGAATGTGACTTAAAGAGCAAAACAAGTTGTGTGAGGTCACTGTAACCCTGTAACACTGAAGTGACGAAAATGAGTATGAATTATATTATAGCAGCAGCTTGTGAGTAGTGGACTGTGATATTGTGATGGGGGACAGAGCTGCGTGTGTTAGTGGCAGCAAATGACTGCACAGTTAGACATATTTGTATTAGTTTAACTCTCTGGGGTCTCCTACGACACACACACACACACACACATACATACACAAACACACACACACACATATTGAAATACTCTCCTGGATGAAGTCATAAAATCAAACACACACACCAACATGAAGTCACCACACTCCAGGCTTTCCAACACAAACATGCCACTCTGAATTCCCACACCAGACTAAAATAGACGCGTCCGCTACAAACACAAAGTGAAAATCCTGCCTGCAGCCTCACCTCCCTCAACTCCTCACTACCACCAGCCAAGACCTTCTGTCCACCCACAGCCGTGTCTTCAAACACCTCTTTTGTCTGTTCTCTAACACCAAAACCATGACATGAGTCATGACATTCATTATTTAATCCTCCATCTCTTGTCGCTTCCCTCATTAGCATTCTTTGTTGAATGTTTTATATCCCCTCTGCCCACTTTAGATACAAACTGACTTTATTAGACTTAATCAATCTCAGCCATTCATGAAATCTGCAGTTTAAACAAGTATGAATTTTTCTGATATATGTATTCTCCACATCTGAAGAAAAAGGAAAAAAAACAACAAAAGCAATCACACATACACAAGGGCAGCACGATATGAGGAAAATCTGCGTTACTCAATACTTTGTCTAATACTGCAATAAGGATACTACTTGCAATAAATAAACAGATATTAAAGTGTACTTAGTTTGGTCTTTCTGCTGCTTCCAGTAAACTTCTAAAATACAAATGAAGAGTGTTACAAATATTATTTTATCGAACAAATCAAGAATGAACTCAACATAAAAGGCACAAATAAAAAACTAAATGCAGAAAGTGTAGTTTTGCCCTGACACTCACTATAAGCTAACATAAAAAATCCTCAAAATACAATGTCACAGTCTAATGTAGTGTGTTAAAGCTACTAGTTGACAATCAGATTAATAATAATAATAATAATGATAATACATATTAAGATTAGGATCACCTTTATTTATCCCAGAGGGGAAATTCAGTTATTCAATCTTGAGTTATAACATTTGTGTACATACAATACACACACACACACACACACACACACACACACATGCACACACAGGACCTAAAGACATGCACTAACAGAGAGGGGCTTCTGCACCGAGGAGCAGTCAGGGGTTCGGAGCAGTCAGGGGTTCGGAGCCTTGCTCAAAGACACATCAGAGGAGGCAAACTGGCACCTCTCAAGCTACCAGTCTGAACCAGCAACCTTCGTTTTCCCAAGCCAAGTCCCTACAGACTGAGCTACATGTTTATGAAGAAAAACTGTTTTGTACAGCTTTAATCCATCTCCACAAAACAAAATACATAAGATTGTAACAGATATGATTGGCAACAAGACAAAAACAAAGACTTACTAGAGCTGGAGGCGAACGGGCAGGTGGGGGCAATAGGAGCCGTAGGAAGGCAGGAAGGTAGAGGAGGGAGGGCATGAGGAAGAGGGGCAGGACCGTTGGGAGAGAGAGGCCGGGTGGAGGTGAAGAACTGCTGGACGCTGTGGTGCTGGAGGACATGGCAGGGCAGCGCTGTGAGACACCTGGGGGCAGGCAGGGAGTCAGAGGGGGAGACAGGGAGTCAGACGGAGAGGCAGAGAGAAAGGGAGACAGAGAGTCAGAGAGACAGGGAGTCAGAGAGACAGAGAGTCAGAGAGTCAGACGGAGAGGCAGAGAGACAGGGAGTCAGAGAGTCAGAGAGACAGGGAGTCAGAGAGACAGAGAGTCAGAGAGTCAGACGGAGAGGCAGAGAGACAGGGAGTCAGACGGAGAGGCAGAGAGACAGGGAGTCAGAGAGACAGAGAGTCAGAGAGACAGGGAGTCAGACGGAGAGGCAGAGAGACAGGGAGTCAGACGAAGAGGCAGAGAGACAGGGAGACAGAGAGTCAGAGAGACAGGGAGTCAGAGAGACAGAGAGACAGAGAGACAGAGAGTCAGAGAGTCAGACGGAGAGGCAGAGAGACAGGGAGTCAGACGGAGAGGCAGAGAGACAGGGAGTCAGAGAGACAGAGAGTCAGAGAGACAGAGAGTCAGAGAGACAGGGAGTCAGACGGAGAGTCAGAGAGACAGGGAGTCAGACGGAGAGGCAGAGAGACAGGGAGTCAGACGGAGAGGCAGAGAGACAGAGAGACAGAGAGTCAGAGAGACAGGGAGACAAAGAGTCAGAGAGACAGAGAGTCAGAGAGACAGGGAGTCAGAGAGACAGAGAGACAGGGAGTCAGAGAGACAGAGAGACAGGGAGTCAGACGGAGAGACAGAGAGACAGGGAGTCAGACGGAGAGGCAGAGAGACAGAGAGAAATGGAGTCAGAGAGGCAGAGAGACAGGGAGTCAGAGAGATAGGGAGTCAGACGGAGAGGCAGAGAGACAGGGAGTCAGAGAGACAGAGAGTCAGAGAGACAGGGAGTCAGACAGAGAGGCAGAGAGACAGAGAGTCAGGGAGTCAGAGAGACAGAGAGGCAGAGAGACAGGGAGTCAGAGAGACAGGGAGTCAGACGGAGAGGCAGAGACAGGGAGTCAGACGGAGAGGCACAGAGACACAGAGTCAGACGGAGAGACAGAGAGTCAGACGGAGAGTCAGAGAGACAGCGAGACAAAGAGACATGGAGTCAGAGAGACAGAGAGACAGGGAGTCAGACGGAGAGGCAGAGAGACAGGGAGTCAGATGGAGAGGCAGAGAGACAGACGGAGAGGCAGAGAGACAGGGAGTCAGACGGAGAGGCAGAGAGACAGAGAGACAGACAGAGAGTCAGAGAGACAGACGGAGAGGCAGAGAGACAGAGAGAGAGAGAGTCCGACGGAGAGGCAGATAGACAGAGAGTCAGATGGAGAGACAGAGAAAGAGACAGAGAAACAGAGAGACAGAGAGTCAGACGGAGAGGCAGAGAGACAGGGAGTCAGACGGAGAGACAGAGAGTCAGACGGAGAGGCAGAGAGACAGACGGAGAGACCGAGACAGACGGAGAGGCAGAGAGACAGGGAATCAGACGTAGAGGCAGAGAGACAGATAGACAGACGGAGAGACAGAGAGTCAGACGGAGAGGCAGAGAGACAGACAGAGAGACAAAGAGTCAGACGGAGAGGCAGAGAGACAGACAGACAGACAGAGAGACAGGGAGTCAGAGAGACAGAGAGTCAGAGAGTCAGAGAGACAGGGAGTCAGACGGAGAGGCAGAGAGACAGGGAGTCAGATGGAGAGGCAGAGAAACAGAGAGACAGACAGACAGACAGAGAGGCAGAGAGTCACACGGAGAGGCAGAGAGACAGAGAGACAGAGAGTCAGACGGAGAGACAGAGGGAGAGGGAGAGAGACAGAGAAACAGAGAGTCAGACGGAGAGGCAGAGGCAGACGGAGAGGCAGAGAGACCGGGAGTCAGACGTCGAGACAGGGAGGCAGAGAGACAGAGAGACAGATGGAGAGACAGAGAGTCAGACGGAGAGGCAGAGAGACAGGGAGTCAGATGGAGAGGCAGAGAGACAGAGAAACAGAGAGACAGAGAGTCACACGGAGAGGCAGAGAGACAGAGAGTCAGACGGAGAGACAGAGGGAGAGGGAGAGAGACAGAGAAACAGAGAGTCAGACGGAGAGGCGAAGAGGCAGAGAGTCAGACGTAGAGACAGGGAGGCAGAGAGACAGACGGAGAGACAGAGAGTCAGACGGAGAGGCAGAGAGACAGACGGAGAGGCAGAGAGACAGGGAGTCAGATGGAGAGGCAGAGAGATAGGGAGTCAGACGGAGAGGCAGAGAGATAGGGAGTCAGACGGAGAGGCAGAGAGATAGGGAGTCAGACGGAGAGACAGAGAGTCAGACGGAGAGACAGAGAGACAGAGAGTCAGACGGAGAGGCAGAGAGACAGAGAGTCAGACGGAGAGGCGGAGAGGCAGAGAGTCAGACGGAGAGGCAGAGAGACAGAGAGTCAGACGGAGAGGCGGAGAGGCAGAGAGTCAGACGGAGAGGCAGAGAGACAGAGAGTCAGACGGAGAGGCAGAGAGACAGAGAGTCAGACGGAGAGGCAGAGAGACAGAGAGTCAGACGGAGAGGCAGAGAGGCAGAGAGACAGAGAGTCAGACGGAGAGGCGGAGAGGCAGAGAGTCAGACGAAGAGACAGAGAGGCAGGGAGTCAGACGGAGACACAGGGAGGACAAAGAGAGCTAACTGGGGGTAAAAACTATTACAAAAAGATGCTTTATTACATGTAGTTATAAGATAGTGAGATTCCCCAACAATACTGTTTTGTAGACGTAGAATAATTTGGTATATTCAAAGCTGGGTTGATAGTTTTTCTTCCAGATATCTCTGCGTTGCAAGACTGTCAATTAACAGCAGCAGCTGCTAGCACAAAGATACAATAAAACGAATATGTTTGGTATTTTGCAAATATGTTTGAGGTTACAGGAGAATTAGAGATACCCCGGAGGCTTTTGTAAATGTTACACTAAGCAGTTTCTGTTCTGTATTTATGCTATTTCACTGATTTACATTTGAATGCTGTTACACCTTCCTTTCCTTCGATGGAACACATCATTCCACGATGAGACCAAAACGTATCAAAGGCAGACATAAACAGGAAGTGAATTCACCTGGGGTCCAGCTCTTTGGACATAGGAAGGAAGTTCTCCACTCCGTCATCGGGAAATGCTTTTGAGAGCTAAGAGAAAACAAAAACACATACGTAACTAGGTGCATTGTGCAATTCTGTGCTCATGTATCCAAGCTATGTGTCCTTGGAACCTGTATAAATAGCTTAATGCTTCACATTGGTATACCAAAGACCGGTTTACTATAACAAATCAGAAACAGAGAGGGATTCTTTCATTCAGAAAACTAGAGGCCCTTTTGATATGGTCAATCTGTAAAATGAATCATATTATAGCATCAGATTATTATAAATATGAACCAGGGAGTGTGTGTCAGTGGCAGTCCAGACCTGGCTCAGCAGCTCTGTCACCTCCTGCTGGGTTCTGATGACGGATGAAACTAAATCGTCCGACCAGCTGGCCTGCAGGAGGAAGAGGAAAGGAGGAAGGATGGTGATGTAGTAGAGAAAGTAGAGAACCAGAAAGGGTAAAACATGACTATATGAACAGAGAACAATTAGAAAAGTTAGCAATAGTTGTGTTTCACTGTCCCCACCTCATACACGTATTCACTCAGCTCCTCAGATGTGTGTGTCACTGCTCTCAGCAACACCTTCTCTATCACCACTGAAAGAAGCACAGATTGTTTCACACATGAGTAACCGCACATCATTTAGTCGGATTATCTTAGTTTTAATGTCCGGGAGGAATTTCAATTTGGCATTCTCCCAAAAGTAATAAATGATGTGAGGATATATACGAGGTAGTTCAACCATATCAGGTGTAATTACATTGTCTCTGATGTAAACTGGCCAGTGGACTGCACTGTTACGTGTTGGCACATAGTGACTGTAGTGGGTGCATAAAGTTGATGGGATTGGGCCACCTGCAGTAACTCCATGTATATTACCCTTCAAGACGCTGATATATCATTCCTGGAAAACTACTTTTCCCACTTCATGCATTGAAATGCTTAGAGATGAATGACAGTGCCATGACTGTTATTGCAGGAGCGTATGTTTTATGTTTGTGGCCTGATTTACATGAAAATCAGTAGAAGGATGTATCAGAGGAAAGACAAGAACCTATGACATTTTGAAGCAGATACAGAAATTATATTCAACATTTTGTTAGCCTTGCGAGATGGAGGTCTGCGCTCTTCAAATGTCCTGGTTCTTAATGTTATTAGCTTACTTACTTCTCACTGTTGTGGATGTCTATTTTGTCAGTTGTTGCTGACTAGAGCTCACAAGCACGCCAGGAAACTCCAGCATCTGTCAGTGCATTATTTTATTTAAGGCCCTGTCACACTGTCCCGAAATTGACACCCGATGGACACACGAATATGGAATTGTGAATTTCGCACGAAGATGGCCCCGAACCACACACGAAGGCAACATTTACATTACATTTAAGACATACAACTGCAATGAAAGTACCAAAAACAATTATGTTACAGTACTATGATACTGTACTGATATCTTCAGACTTTGTTCTTTACTTTATCCGTCATTATATGTAGAAAATATTACGTTTTCTCCGTAATGTTGTTTCCATACCAACAACAACTTCCTGTCAACTGTCCTTCAAAATAATATATTATATCCTTTTTAGTTTCACAGAACACAAATTGGGTTATTTACATAATATATTTACATGATTCTGTTGTGCAATAAAACAACCCGATGGACACACGATAAAGGAAATGTTCAAATTCGGCTGTGATCGTAGCAACATCGGGCCATTCGTGAGGGCATCTTAAGCCTTCGTATGACCGCCGGCGGAGTTTCTCAGGCTCCGGCAGCAACTTCGTGAGCGGTGGCAAAATCTTTGGCATGCCAAAAAATTGCCGAAGGACCTTGCGAAGGTTCATTTTCGTGTTGAATTCGTGTGTCAATTTTGCCCTTCGTAAGGCCATCGTGAGGGCATCTTGTTATCATCGGTGCCATCGGGCATTCGCCCCGATCAGAGTGAGGGTGAATGCACCGATGATAACACGAAGATGACACGATTTGACAAGATGCCCTCACGAGTGCCTTACGAAGTTGCCGCTCACGAAGTTGCTGCCGGAGCCTGAGAAACTCCACCGGCGGTCATACGATGGCTTAGATGAATTTGAACATTTCCTTTATCGTGTGTCCATCGGGTGTCAATTTCGGGACAGTGTGACAGGGCCTTTAAAGAAATCTAAATAACAGCTATTTTCTGTTATTTTGAAAACTAAAAGCCAAAGAATCAATAGTTCCAGTTTGTAAATTGAAGAATATGCTGACTTCTATATCGGATGTCAGTGTTAAGGTAATATGTTTGTGTTTTGGTCAGTTTGTTGGAAAATAACACTTATTTGAAGATGTCATATTGAACACTGGGAGATAAACATGTGCTTTTTTATTATTTACTGGCTAATTTGAGACAAACATTTTAGGTAGACGATATTATTATGTGTCTAATCAGAAGATTGTCTACCTTCACAGATGTTGACATACCCGTTATGCTGTGGTATGTATTCTTTAAGTATCTCTGGTTGAAATAAGTCATGAGGGCAATGTTACAAATGAAAAAGCAGGAATGCATTATGGCAATATTGGATGACCTTCAGCATCACAATAAAATAAAAGGTTAATGTCATGATTATCCTGGCTAATGATTACTAGTAATAATTATAACTTTTGAAATGGCACTAAAATATATTGGAATCACTTCATCTTACATTTAGTTAATAGTAAATATTTGGAGACATATTTTTTAAACCAACCGCCATGTTAGTGAAGATGTATTATTGTGAACATTTAATAGTTGAATAACTGAACATTTCTCCATCAGATGAGGCTTACTCTTGGCACTAAGAGTATGCACTCTAGTTTTCCATCTGGACAGAATCTGTGCTGCCAAAGCCCTTCACACAGCTGCTACTGTACAGCTCATTCAGGACGGTGCTCTCACCTGGGATTCAACCTCCCTAAATCCTGCCTAAATCTGTTTGGTCCAACCTGCACTCTGCCACTGGCTGCCTGTAGCTATTTGTATCCAATTTACAATACTGTAGCTAGCCAAGACTATAAAAGGAAGTTACATCTTGATGAGTAACAATCCAGCCCTCTGGCAGCAAATCCTCTGAGTCCTTTTTCTGTAGTTCTAAAACGACATTTCCAATTACCTCATCCCCAATCATCCAGTGTAGCTAGGGAACACATTATATTTGTATTAAAGTAAAGAATTATGACTTAATAAAGAGAAATGTGCAGGCCTAATACTGTCAAAAGGCATATTGGATCATAATTTGTCTATGTGTAGATAGCACTTACTTATTTACGGTTAACAAATGGATGCTCATCTGTCACAACTGAGTTAAAGGTTGCATTTTTAAAGGGGTAAAGCTGTCGTGACATATCTTGGTGTTAACAATAACCTTATTTATAAAAAAAAAAACATTTCAATTCTCAAGTTATTTTTATATATTTCATAGTATTGTTTAAAATGATCTAGCATCTCTTCAATCGTTTCTGTTGCTTTCCATTCTCACTTTGTCTTCCTTCCCAAACAAATCAGTGTACCTCATGGTCAAAAACAGACAAACGCACAATAAGTAAGTTCAAAAGGAATTTAACTTATACGCTTTTTTTCCTTCTTGGAATTTTCTATAAATACAGAGATAATATTGTCATTGTGAATTATTTTTAAGGATTTTACATCTTGGTACCTATGAGTATTAATCCGGCCCTCGATGCTGGCACCAAATCCTCTCATTTGTTATTTACTCTAACCTCATCCCCAATCATGCAGTGTAGCTTGGGAACACATATTTGTATTCAAAATTGAATTATTATTACTTAATAAAGTGACATTTGTAAGTTAATATGGCCTCTTCAAGTCAAAATATATAGTATCCCTAATTTATTCTGTGTATATATAGCACTTTTTTAAGGTTGATTTAATTATTATAGATGCAAATCTACCAATCTGTACATTACAATTTTGCATTCTCAAAAAACATGTATTAACGAACCTTTGATATCATGTTAATACACATATGATCATTTGGAAAAAGTAATCGAGCATCTATAAAATCAACAATCAACAATTTTGGTCAAATAAAGGGAAAAAAACAATAGTTTTAAGCGTAAATTGAAATAAATAGGCTTATTTTCTTTTGAAATTATTCCTAATGAACGTGCCTATAACAGTATTGTAAATATTAACTACACAGTGAAAATCTTGTATTGTGACGGCCCTCATATGTATGCACACATCATGTTTTATTTGCGCATATTTCTACTTCTACGTCTGGATGCATGCCTCAGTTGCAGAGGCAGGTTCGGGCTGCTCCTGCCATTAGATCCATGTCATTAAATAGAAGGTGAGAATGAGTTGAAGTGGTGGAAACATGAAATAGATGGGTGTGTGTGCAGGAGAACACCTCCGGCTATAGATTTAGACACATTACACTCCCAAACTGTCTATCTGAAACCACATGAGGCGTGCAGGAACAAGCAGCCGGGGAGGAGAAGACACGAGTTTAGGAGGAGAGAAATAAAGAGGGGGATAAAGAAGGAACGAGAGAGGAGGAGATCTCAACACACACACACACACACACACACACACACACACACACACACACACACACACACACACACACACACACACACACACACACACACACACACACACACACACACACACACACACACACACACACACACACACACACACACACCACACACACACACAACACACCACACACACACACACACACACACACACACACACACACACACACACACACACACACACACACACACACACACACACACACACACACACACACACACACACACACACATCCCTCATCACCATTGGGCAGCAGCTGTGGAAGGCTCTAAATGCCGCCTGCCATTCACTCTAATCTAGGCTGCCACACACACACACACACACACACTTTGTGAAGTCCAGGACGGTGTGTGCGAGACATGATCAAAAGTAGAGTTTAAATGATATCCAAAAAGTGAATAAAGTATATCCCTGATGTTGCCTCTTACAGGCAACTACAGTTGATATGTGTGTGCCAACAAAAAACACAGGTAAAACCAACACAGGTCTCATTCTGCAGGCCTGAGGTAGCAAAAACTGTAAACACACGCTGAGAAAATGGTCGGGTAACAGCATATAAACTTAATTGTGTGGGCCTGTGAGAGTGTGTGTCTTCATGCTTCATGCGTTTGTACACTCTCGATACAACTTAGTGTGTGTATCAGTGTGAGATGTACGCTGCTGACAGCTATGTGGTGTGACCATGAGGTAGTGGGTGGTTGTGTATTGTGTTACCGACAGAGGCAGGGGGCCAAGACAATAACACACTGGCCTGATGAGGCTCGCCCAAACTAGGGCTGCACGGTATTGAAAAAAAATGACATCGCGATTTCCCCCCCCCCCCCCCTGCGGTATATATTGCGGGTTTTTTAACCTGTTAAACCCCAAAGTCCCGGCGGGTACTTTACTTTTTTTTTCACGACAGTGTCTCAGGGGATCGTAATATTTAAGAACCTATTAATGTGTTATACCAGATTAACGGAAATAATCTCAGCTAACTGACGATACAAACCATTTTTACCGAAACAAAACACAAGTCT